TCCCTTCCGTTCCCTTCCCTGTTTCTCCAGCCAGCAGCAGGAGGCTTTGCTGCCTCCCAGTGGTGCTGTGAAGGCGACTCCCCACCAGCCTTCTGTTTGCAAAGTGCTGCCTGTTCTCCGAGAGCAGCAGCCATTGTTCAGGACTCTCCATGTCCTCTTCCCTTAGCCCTTCGGAGGAGAACAGCCCTGTGCCCCTCCTGGAGAATCCCACGGTGAAGGAAATCGCTCAGAAGCATGGAAAAACCAGCGCTCAGGTGAGGGGGGGACAGCACTGGCCCTAGTGGTGTTTCTCTATATAGATGTGCAACATCCTATCTAAGCTACACGGGGGGGCGGGGGTTGTGGGTGCAGTGTGGAAAAACGGGTCTCTGTCTCTTCATGCTGACTGTGCTCCTCCTGGCCATCGCACCAGCCACGTATCCTGGCTCACCAGCTCCTGCCCTCTCCGCAGGTTCTCATCCGCTTCCACATTCAGAGGGGCATCGCCACCATCCCGAAAAGCATCACCCCAGCCCGCATCGTGGAGAACGCAGAGGTAACGGGGATGGCTAGCGAGCCGGGAGCCCTCTTCCGCTCCTGGCAAATGGCTGAGGTGTTACTGTCACCAGAGTGGGGTGAGACACTTCACACAAGCGACGGCTGGGGACTTGTACCAAAGCCGAGCTGTACCCAGCAGGATTTGAACGGCTAGTTCAAGGGACCCTTAAGTATTGCTAGCCTGAGGGTTAGCCCCTCTGTTCAGGGATACGCTCATAGGCCCTCCGCTTGGAGACCTAAGTGGGTTTGCTCCTCGTAGAATACACAACACAGAGCAACGTCTGGCTGTTAAACAGCCTGCGTTGGCTGTGAGAATAGCTTGTGGACCAGAAATCTGGGGGTGGGATTTTTGTCCTTTCACTGAGGAGTTGAGTGGGTGGCCATGCCCATCTGGTAGAGCTGTGCTGAACAAATGCTCAGGGCAGGGCACCCAACAGAAGATCTGCCCTTAGCCTCAGAGAGAGAGAGAGAGAGAGAGACGCAAAGGCCGGGGGTGAATTTCAGCACAGCAGCTTGAGACGCAGTAACCTCCCATGTGCGCGCTGGGGAAGTCCCATACCCTGCCATTCCCCGTATCCAGCCTCCTGGTCCCACTCAGACTCCAAGGGGCTGCATTTCCCAGCCTTACAGAATATCCGCCTGTCTTCCATGCTTTGCTGTGGACTTGTGTCTCCCGGCAGACTTGGGAGCCTGGGCTTGGAGTCAAAAGCTGTTTCTTCTGCGTAGGTATACGACTTTCACCTGACACACACCGAAATCCAGACGCTGGAAGGACTAGACTGCAACACGCGATTTATTAAATGGAACCTGCTGGGGTGAGTGAGTGAAACAGGCTCATCTAACTAAAAAAACTTAGCCCCGTGCAACTGTACTGAAGCCTTCAGAGCCCGGCTAACAATATTACACAGGGAAGCTTGCAGGCTAGGAAGCGGTGGGTGCTTTCAGTCATGTGGCACTGGATGGGGATGCAGGAGACCTGGGTTCTATTTCTAGCTTTTCCTCTGGCCTGCTGGGTGACCTGGGGCCAGTCACTTCCCATCCTTTGCCTCAGTTTCCCTAAATGCAAAATAGGGATATGATCCTTTGCTTTTCCTCCACAGGGCTCAAGGTAGACAGGCGGTAGATATTCAGTACCATCTACTCTTTAAGGATCTCAAAGCACCTTCCCAACGTTAATTAACCCACAGTGAAGTAGTTAAGGGACCAAGCCCAGCAGGGATTGTCCCCGTTAGCTTCAGGTGGGGTTGTTCCCAAGCCAGCATGGGTCTCCCCTATTATAAAGGGAGCTGTTTCCTCTCGGGTGCGAACCCATTCAGAGGCAAGGGATACATCACAAAGGTTTGAGCAACACATTGAAGCTCCAGTGTAATACGTGCGGAGTATTGCTATTGTTTATTTAAGCACTGACCGTAGGCTTGGCCCCTGTGCAATACACACAATCAAATCTTCCCTCGTGGCAGGGCTCGCAAATAAGGCCCCGATCCTGAAATCGGAGAGGCCAGCGTGGGACCCGGAGAGATTTCATCTGGGTGGAGGGCAGGGGTCAGTAGATGCATAACCCAAGCTAGGAGAATGTGGATTTGATGCTCTCTAGTGGCTGGTACACAGAGATGTTTCAAGCCGCTATAGAGCTGGTTAAAATATAAAACTGTGTCTTTCTTTCTGAAAATATGAGCAAAATGACCCCCACCCTGAAAATCTTGCTACAGAACTTCTGTCTTTTGACTATAGGAACATTGGAAAAATGTCCCCTTCCCTGTTTCCACTGAAAAGAGGGAATGGACCCCAAAAAGAGAACTTCTGGTTTTCAACAGCTGAAAATTTTCAATCAAATTACATTTTCATTTTGATCAAAAAGCCATTTTTTAATTGGGGAGGCAGCATTTTTGGTGAAAAATGCTGACCAGCTAAGGCGTGGGTTCTCAACCTTCCCCTACTGGGTCCCCTCTACCATCTAATCAAATCTAGCTCCTTATATAACACTTTTTTCAGCAGTAGATCTGAGAGGTCCAGATTCATGAAGGTGCTTAGGCATCCCAATGTCTTAAACCACCCCCCACCTCCCCCGGGGCCATGCCAACAAGTGGAATTCTCAGCCCAGCTTTGTGAATCTAGTCCAAAGTGACTTGCTTCAGAGTCATCCAAACAAAACCCACATCTCCCGTGTCCCAGTCTGCTCGGCCATGCTGCAGGAAGGGCAGGGATTTCACAACCAAACTCTGTTGGCGGCCCATGAAGTTGAGCCCCTTTTCGTCGTCAGAGGTTGATATTGCACTGGGGAAGTTAATGGGAGTTTTTCTATTGACTTAATTGGGAGCAGGATCAAGGCCCTTAAGTCTTTGAATGCAACAGGGGCTAAAACGCAGGATTGGCTCATCCTTTTAGTTGGAGAGATTCTGGGTTTAAACACCTCTGCTGGTGCAAGGTATCACCAGCAGATCCAGTTGCAGGATGGGCGCCTGACGGAACAGAATACACCGGCAAATCCAGAGAGGGATGGGCTTAGTTTATTTGTGGTTCTTTTAATTAAACTCATGGGTTAATGCATTTTAAATTAAAGGTTTGAATTCCAGTAAAATTCCCTACTTTGGCTATTCCTATCATCACCTGCACTGTTTGCTTCTTGAAAAAGCTTTTACATGGAAGATTCTGAATGGTTGTGATAATTATTTACTTAGGATGTATTTGTCTTTTATTCCAGGATGGAGACACACAAACACTTCCCATTCAGTGACAAGTAACTATCGCGGCCTAAAGAAATGGCAAGTCAGTCCTGGAAGATCCGGTTCCCAGTAAATCAACTGCATGTATTGGCAAGCTTTTGAAATGATCCATATGAGCCTCTCAAAATCCTTCTGAAAATGTCCTAGGCAAGGTAAACTAAAATCTACTTGCCTACCTGTACATTGGGGCTAAAACTAATTACGTTTTATTTGCCCATTTTAAATGACTTGAGAATGGAGGAGGAGAATTATACAAGGGTGATTTTAAATATTTGCTCAGGTAAGGGTAAGGGGGGGGAATCTTGATAAGCTATTTGTTCTCTGGAGACAGTTTCTAGATGTGGGGGTAAAGGATTAGACCCTTCTGTAAGGTTCCCCTGATTTTTTCTTTCAGTAACACAATAAAAACCAGCTGTCCAATGACCGCATTTAGCATTCCCGGGTTCATGTGTTGATTTTTCAGGGGACTTTCACCATGCACTGAACATACTGAGGTTTTGTTAAACAGCAGACTGTACCAACGCGCCTTTAACTTGATGCAACATGGGATTTGCAGTCTCCTGTTCAAAACCTTCAGCAATGTAAAGGCTTCAGCTATATTCTGCACCGCTGTGTTATAAATCATTTAGTTTACTGTGTGGGGAAGAGTCATACCAACCGGAATATTCCTATCAATTGGAGTCACAGACTTTTTTTTACTGTGGGCAGAATTCACTCCTGTACTGAAGACCAACCCGATCACTTCAGTCCCACTTAGGTTGTGCCTGTTCTGGCCCCTTACTCCTGATTAAATGGGATGTAAGTGAGGTATAGCCCTTGTGCTGGATAGCCCTGGATGCATAGGTGAATGTCTCTTGGAGACAAGAGTCACAGTTTTCACTGCATGTTGCTTACCTTTTGAGAAGCACCCTTTCCCTTCAAGTGCTCAGCAAACAGGCTAGTTCACTGTATGCATGTGCATAAAAGTCAGCCTGTCCTGATGGACTACTCAGTACAGCAAGCTGACCTTGACAGATCACTGTTTTTGCAACAGTCTTGCAGTGGACTTCAGTGAATGTATGGTCAGGCCCAGTATTAACTTGGAGAGACTTAAACCCTTTAATGTACATTAGATTTATGTGTATTTGGGTTTTTCGCCTTCCTCTGCAGCATGGGGCATGGGCAGTGATGAGCTGCCAAAATCTTAAGAACCAGTTCCCTACCGGGTCTTTGGCAGCACAGCTCTGGCAGCTGAAGGACTCGCCACCGAAGACCCGGT